TGTGATAACTTGATATCATATTATCATAGTTATTTTTGGATTGTTTGATGTATTTCCTTAATCGTTACATCAATTGTTGGATTGTGTGGTTTAATACACCGGTATGGGACGGTGGCATTCTAGGGACGGATTAACTTATCAGTTAAGTCCTACCTATTTTATATAAGGGAATTGATTAACTAAAATGTTAAGTCCTACTTATATTCAAGTCAGGTCAGCTGAACAAGTTGAATGACTTATGGAGGATTAATTTATTATATACGGGAATGGATTAACTAAAATGTTAAGTCCTACTTATATTCAAGTCAGGTCAGCTGAACAAGTTGAATGACTTATGGAGGATTAATTTATACTGAATAGGATGGTTACTAGATTATATATATATATATAAGTATGGTGCCATGATATGAGCTCGAGTCTTAGGATCAGTGGTTAAGGCGCGTATATTGCCAGGGATGTGTAGCTAGATACAGTGTAGTTGTGTACCCTGGTAGGTCTAGGTACTCATGCCCACTGCATGTGCGTTTTGCATGTTGCCTACTATTCAGGTTGAGACAACCTTATAGTCTAGTGAGGTTCCTTTAGTGTGTATATATATATATACGGACTACTAGTTACTGTTGGATTGACTAAGATGTACACGTGTATCGGATCTCTGCTTGGACTGTAGTAGAGTAGAACTTGTTTGTGAGCCTGACCCACCATTATTTTTCAGGTATTCGTCAGAAGTAGAGGTTGTTCATGCTGAGCGGGGATCAGTCTACTTCATTCTTCTGATGCTACATAGGAGTTTCTTTATGATTCAGTTTTCTAATTTAGACAGTTATTGCTGTCATTCGTTTAGTTTGGATTTTATAGGGGTCCACACAATATGGATTCTCGACTTATATTTTGGAGAATCAGTTGTATCAGAAAAGTTTATTAATTAATGGAAATATATTATGAGGTTTATTATTAGATTACCATTTTAGTTTCTTGTCAGTATTTTATTTATTCTTCTTTATTCTTTTGTACTCTGTGTTCGTTTATTACCGCTTTGTTTTTTATATCCTCGGGTGTGGGCCTGGCCAACCCGCATTCGGAAATCCGAGGGTATCACATTGGATGTATCAAAATAATTTTCTTATTTATAAAAATTTATTTTGAGGTTTCAGTTTTGGATTATCTTCTTAGTTTCTGTTCAGCAGTTTTATTTATTCCTGTTTATCTTAATTGTATTTTGTATTCGTTTATTACTAATTAGTTTGATATCCTCGGGTAATCGGGCGTGGGCCTGGCCAACCTGCATCCGAAAATCTGGGAGTATCACAGTTAGTGTTCGAGAATATCCATTTTGTTTGATTTCACAATTTCGTTTTCAAGTTGATAATATTATATATTTATAACTTGATGTTTTATATTGGAGGTTCCAATTATGTTTAATTATAGCACTTTGGTTAATTTTACAATCTTGACTTCAAGTTAGTAACTTTGATAATCTATACTTTTATGTGCTATATTGGAGATTTCAACTATGTTGCATTGTATTATTTAGTTAGTTTTGAATTTAAACTTCAAGTTGGTTAGTTTGAGAATATATATATATATATATCGTTGTAATGTATTGGAAATTCCAATTTTGTTGAATTGTACAATAATTCATTCTTACCTAGTATACTTGTATATTGAATATTTCGTTACGTTGTACTGCATGTTTCTATGATGTTTAAATTGCATGAATGATGTGGTTTATGTTATAAATGTTCTAAGGTAGTTTAGGATGCTCCATGAGTCTCACATTTGACATAGACGCAAGGTGGCGTGACCATATGAATTGATTTATATCAACTTAATAGGTTTGTAAAACGTTAGGTTTTTGCACGCTTATCTCCTACGAGTAGCTTTATGTTACTCACCTATGTAGTGGGAACATTTTTCAGGTACAGAAATCAAGATTTGGAGATTCATATTATGCTGGGATGATTTGTAGATTTAAAGTTCACGATTCATGCAAATGTTAGCATGAAATGCTATTTGTAGCTTTTAATGTCAAAACTTGTATATTTGGTTCTAAATATGTAATGTGTACATAGGTACACCTTTTGTGATATATTTGACATGTATGAGATGAGGCCATGGGCCAATGACGATTATTTTGTATTATAAGCACTTTTACTTTCAAGCTTTATTATAGAAAAATAGAAAAATGACACGCATTAGCATCACTATATTTGCATGGGTGGTGGGAAATGGACTTTATCACTTCCATAGGGTCTCTTCAATTATTCATGAAATATGGCCAAGGGCCAAACGGTCTTTTGAAATCATTTTGTAATTCTTAGTTTCAAATTTTCATTTAAAAGTTCATTTTAAGCATTTTTTTAGTTTTGATATGTCGTATTTTGTATCGGCCATTTTTGGAAACCGCGGACCATTCCCGCGCACTTAAAATCACTTATTACATTTGCGTGCATAATCGTTTTAGCACACAACAACAATTAGGGTGAAATGAACACTTGGTGTAAAGTAGCATTTTTTAGTTTTTGGCCTAAACTGATCCAGGGGCATTATGGGCATTTTACAGCGTGTTTTAAAATTTTCTTTCGACATGGTCAGGTATAAAACATGATTTTAAGAGGAGTTTCTTCTTTATATTTTTGCAAAAAAATTCATTTAAGGGTCCAAAACAGCTCTCAATTCTGGAAAAGCCGTCAAAAAATGCTTCCATCAGCACCTTAGGCATGGGCACGCGCGTGGGTGTCTTGGGGCTCCTTTTTGTCCGTTTTCGTCGTTAGGCCACATCTTATTCGTCCGGACTCCGAATCAGATGAGTTTTTAGCCTAACTTTATTTTTTTTTTCGTCTTCTATCCAACGGTGTGCTCGGTTACACTTGGATCTTTCTGAAAAATTACCAATTTGCCCTTAAAGTTTTAATTGTTCATTTTTTGTCGTTAGGCCATAACTTCTTCATACGGATTCCGAATCAAACAATTTTTGAGTCTAACTTGATTAGTTTTTCGTTGTCTATCCATTGGTGTACTTGGCAGCACCCAAATATTTTTGAAAATTACCATTTTGACCTTGGGGCTGAACTTTTCCGTTTTCCTTTTTTAAAATTGCTTCCGCTTTGCTTTCTTTTAAGTCCCGTGACTTCATGGGAAGCCACGGATGTGTCTTGGGAATGATGTATATTTCTAAAGACGTTACTTTCACGTGAAAAGATTATTTTGCCCTTAGGGGCTTATTTGGTCTTTTTCTGATCTTTTGCTTTCGCACTTGTTCTCGTTGAGATCCATGGCCTCATGGAAGGTCACTTTGACATCTTTGAGATGCATTGCATCTCTAGAGACTTGATTTATATTTTCGCTTCCGTATTTGAATCCGTTATCGGATCAAACTTCAATTCATCATAGGACGCACTGGCTTGAAAAACCAGGGCCGTCAGAATATCCATTATATTAAATATTTACGTGTGGAAGACATAAGTGACAACTGCTTGTTGACTAAAGTTTTCATTGAAGACATTGACTCGATTTTTGCAATCATTCAGGGCTTGCATTCGTGGTGTGACGGATTCGAATAAATATTAGTGTAAATCGGCCGATTTATGGAGAAATGTAACGATATCGAACTCTTGAAGAAAGTTACGAACCGACCGATACGTCGTGTATCGGTAGATACGACAAATCATGATTGTAACTCCATAGCCAATAATATTAGCAAATGAGCTCTATGTTTTTGGAGCTTATGACCTTCGTGGGCTTATTTGGCCCAATTGGCTTGTCTAGGCTCCAGAGGCTGAATCCTCCCTCCCCTTTTCTTAGCGTCTGTTTCTTTGTTGACAAAAAAAATAAAAATAAAAAAATCCTTCAAAGTTATAAAATACTACGGTACTGTAGGTTATATGACCTTTTCAATCATTAGAAAAAAACAATAATTCTGGTTGAATCATTTGACATATTTTCTCATGAGAAAGTGATATTTAAAGTTCCACTCTTATTCACTTCTGTTTTTTTTTAATAATAAAAGAACACTATTGCTAAAACAAAGGCCAAGCAGAGACGACATCTTCGGTGAATATACAGTTTGAAATTTGCAAGAGACGCTGCATGAAATCATCATATACACCCCCAAACAAAAATAGGGGGAATCACTTGTAAATTGTAACACGTCTAACCAACCCAAAATAAATAAATAAATAAATATAATACTATTTAAGTCCATTTGACATGTTAATAATCCGTACCAAGGTTAGAGAATTCGACCAATAATGTAATGGATTTAGGCCTAACAAATAAGTTAAAAAAATCGATCTGAAAATTATTTTCCTGCAAAAAAAAATTAAATGAAGACAACTCATAATCTTCTATACTATGGCAATTACTATGAACTTTAAATCCACGGTGTTTGACGATATTCTGAATAGGACATAGATATTACTTCCATACTCATTTGGATGTTTTCGGTCATTGATTTGTGACTTGAAAAAAGCTTGAAGTAAACTAAGAAAATTATGACAATGAGTCCCATCATATAATCTTTCTTTTCTTTCTGTTACCAATATTTTTCTTTTTATATATTTTTATTTAGATATTTTCCTTTTTGTTCAGAAATGGCCATTAATCAACAAATTCAATTTAGTTGCAGCAACAACTCTTCTTTTGCAAAGCAAATAAGAAAAATCAAAATCTAGAGCAATTAGTAAAATAAAAAAAGTCTAGAACCTGCAAAAAGTTCATACAATAGAAATAAAAAAACAAAACGACAAAAAAAAAAAAAAAAAAAAAAAAACTTGTCATGATCACAGCACACCACCACAAACCCAAAGATTAAACTAAAATTGTTCATTGATCTGAAAAATATTGTCATCATCATCATTGTGCCAAGACACCTACAAAACTAAAAAAAGGGAAAAAGAAAAATAAAATATTAAAATTCAACGTCATCTCGTTGAAACCAATCGATCCGCCATTAATGTAGGGCTCAAGGATAGTTGAAATCAGAAATTCATCTTCTAGTGAAAAAAAAAAAAAAAAAAGGAGTAGCGCATTGGCCTTACTACCATATACAAAACCCTAACCCTAAAAGTAACCATTTTTTTTTTGTCAGAGCCTAGTTGTTTTGCAAGAGGGGTTTCAAAACATGGCAAGAATTTGTAGTATCCTTGCAAGAATCAAGACCCACATCAGATAACACCTTCAAGAACTCATCCAACCCTAACCCACCAAACCTCTGCTCGTCTCTCTCTAGAAGCTTCAACATTTCTCTGAAAAACCCCACTTCAGATGGCAACACGAGCCCACCATTGCTCTGAAACCCAAACTCTTCTTCGGCCTTGTTGAGAAGAGAAACGAATACAGGGAGGTTCAGGAACCGGGTCGGGATCACAAAACGGCGTCGTTCTGCGCCGACGTAGACGGCGAGCGAACCGGATGGTGTTCGCCGGTTCGCGCCTGATTCGGACGACGTGTCAGGGTCGGAGTAGGAGAGGACGGACCGGCGCTTGAGGCTCATGTTCTTCCACCGTTGCATGACCTGTTTGAGGCGCACGATTTGGGTGATTTTGTTGACCTTCTTGTCGGCAGAAGCCATTGCAGTTCTAGAGAGAGAAAGCTCTGTAGAGAGAGAAGAAGGCACAGCAGAAGTTGAACACTGACGAGAGTTAGTAGTGCAGACGAATACTAAAATTAGACTGGATTGAGCTGCGTTTCTTTAATTGACCGAATTACCCTTTCTAGACATTTGCAAGTTACTAACTAATTTTTATTTATTTATTTATTTTGCAAGTTACTGAATTGCCCATTCTCCCAACAGTATCGATGGCGACATTTTTAGCACTTTGACAGGTGCCCTTCATATGAAAATATTTACCACTACTAAAAATTACAGTATAGCTTAGCGCTTTAGCGGTATCTTCAAAATTTTTAAATTGGGAGGTTAAATGAAAAAATAATTATTCACGAATTAGTTAAATTACACTTATTCCCTAATTTTTCCTTCCTTATTCTTCTTATTATTATAATTATTATTTTTGATAAATCACATGCACTCGTCTATATATATATATATATATATGTATGTATATAAGTTAAACACACACATTCATTATTTATAACATGTGCGTTCCAAATTCCAACTACCAACCTCCATTTTTTAAAAGGATATATGTAAATTGCATCTATATTACATGAACATATGTGAAATTATGATTTTTATATTATTTCAAATTCATTTTCCGAATTTAACTGGTTAATTAAATAAAAGCTCTTATTGAATTTGGTTAATCTAGTTTAATCATTATAATTATTATTTTCTTTAATGAAGAAAATAGTATTATCAGTTTAACACTCCTCTTTACTATTGTTGTAATGTTGTAATGCACTTACTATTTTTAAAATGGAATTATGGAAACCTACAATTTTCCTTAAAAAAGACATATTCTATCATTTTTTTTTTAAATATTAGGTTGTCACTGGTCCATCATATTTGGTAAAATTAAATAATAATATTTGGATCCTATCCCGTTAAGGGCATCAATTCTATCATCTTTGATTTTGTAATTAAAAATTACAATCACCTACTTTTCATTGTTATCCAAAGTTAATATTTACTAATTTGCTATTATGTTAAGGATATTTGCGCTTCAACAATATTTTCAGACTACTTTCTTTACCTCTTAAAATCAAATTACTAAAAAGTCCCAAATCCATAATCCTTGATTACTCCGTATTATATTTTGTAATGCCATTATTATCCTCGTCTATTAAGGTTAGGAGTCTTCCTAAAATCTAATTCCTTATATTCTCTCTCACGTTCCTTTAATCTCTCCTCATTTCTCTCCTTAAATCTACAAATCAATGACGGAAGTAGATCAATTGAATCATTGTGTTAACATATGGAATTGAATCCTTAATTATTATTTATTTATAGCAGTTGTTTAACTTTTCGAGAAAAAAAAAAATAAAAAAAATATATCGAATTATTATTATATGTAAATTATTTTGATACTTGATACAAAAGTAGTGATATTTTTCAAATTATTCCACCAACCAACTTACAAACCCTTAAGTCTGCATACTTCTTTGCAGAGAGAAAAAGAGATCCAAGTAATAGCCTATACAATTAGAGCACAATTTGAAAAAAAATTTAAGAGTGATGATACTCACACTGAATACTTGCAGTGAATTGTCTAACCAAATAATTTTTAATTAGTTATTTATACCAAATACAACTAACGAGAGGGCTACACTTCCTTATTTGTTACATAATTAATCAATTAAAAGAGTAAGCAACAAAATTAACTGCAATTATTCCGTATTTATTTTTTTTTCTTCAACTTCTTCTCATCCTCTTTTTCGATTTTTCTTCTATTATCAAGTCTTTTTATTAAAGGGAAGTGTTGGGACATAATCATTGATCCATAAGATTGGTGCAAAGTAGATACCTAAAGCACATTTTCCGGCAGGACAATTTCTCATCCCAATTATGAATCCATTAAAATTTTTAGAATGACCCAATCATAAAAATTATTCCAGTACAATCATTTACACTTTTCTTTCTAGTAAATTTACTATGAATTAATCAAAATTTTGGTTTCCTCGTGCAATTTTTTATTTTATATAATGTGATAAAACTTGGTAGCACCCATCTGTTTGGGTGATTTATTTTTATTAAGGAGAGAGAATCTGAGTGAAAAATTAAGGGAACGTGAGAGAAGAGTCCGAGGAAAAGGAATTAAAATTCAACAAGACTCCTAACCTCAAAAAAAAGGGTAATAACGGTATTATAAATGTAAACTCTAAGTATTGTGTGAGTTTGGGGACTGTTTTGTAATTTTATTTTATATATATATAAAAAAAAAAATGAAACTTCTAATGATATTTTTGGAGTGTAAATATCAAAAACCTATGTTGACATAATATTTATTTGTCTTTGCACTTTTTTAAGAGAAAAAAATGTCATTCTAAACAATATTTGTGTTAACGTATCAACTTTTTGACATGACCATTGTTTACCATTTAGAGATGGAGGAAAGTATTATTAAAGTGATGTTTGATAACACAATTTAATATTTAATAGTTAATTATGAATAAATTAAAAGCTTGTTTAATTGAGTACGTTTGATAATATAATTTAAATATCACTTAAAAAGGTAAATACTAAAAATTCTAAAAGGTATCAAAAAAATATTTATTATTTATTAAATTACTATTTAAAAGCTTCAACGTTCAACTTTCACTTAACTATAAATGACATAGGTTAGTTTAATTTACCATTTCTAGAAAAATACTCCTTGTTTAATTGTTTTTATTATTATTAAATCCTAACAAATACTAATTTTGCTAAAATTATATAAAGAGAGTATAATATTAAAAAATATAGATCTTTATTACTTTCATTCTAACAAAAAAAAAAAAAAAAAAATCTTTAGCTTTCTACAAAAACAGATGGAAAGGAAGATGAAATGTTGTTTTTGCGGATTAATTTCAACTCCTGATATATCTCATTGAAGGAGACGACTGATCCTTGAGATGGAAAAGATCAGATAACCAGAGACCATATTGACGAGATACAGCAATGTCTACATTTTCCCCAATGCAACTTCTAATCTCACAATTTTAGCCAAAAAAAAAAAAAAAAACTCTTCTAGTCCTCACATCAATGCATTTCACCGCACAACCTACTATTATGACTTTTTTAAAAATAATAATAATAATAAGAAAAAGAATAAAACATAAATAAAACAGATTAAAATGAAAAAGAAAAAGAAAAAATCACTTCGTATACCATTATATATCACGAACTAAAGGCAAAGGTTGTCATCAACACAACATAGAAATTTAATACGTAATTTTTTTATTTGTTATTTCCTGGCAATAACAAAAATATTTTGATAAACTTTTTAAATTGAACACTCCAAAGAGATTATTACATCCTTAACCATAATGATTATGGTATCTTTTATCCATTATTTTCTTTCAATCCAAACATCCTACTTAGTTCTTCATTTTTAGAACGTCAGAATCACTCTTGATATCCCCTTAAATTAATTGAACAGGGCCTACATATTTTGCTCTTCACTTTGTTATTTTTAATTAATTTATTAAAAAAATTAAATGAAAAAGACTGATTCTACACTACTAAGCGCAACAATTTTTACCATTCTCCACTTCATTCACGGTATGTAGTCTATAAGGATGGCAATTTGACCCGCTCTTGCACTTACCGCTCCGTCCCATCCCGTCCCATTTTTGAGGGTTTTGGGTTAGCTTATTTGGGCGGGAATGGTTTGATATAATAAAAATTTGCAAGAATTTGGTGCGGGGGAGGTCACTTTGTTCCGTCCAGCCCCGCCCTGCCCTGCCTCGTTTAGATAGACAAATTACTTAAGTACTCTTATTTCATTAACATATATATTTCCCAGTATATATATTAAGTACTTTATATAACATTATTAAAGTAACAAATGAGTTTGATTAGAAGGAAAGTTGCAATAGTAAAGAACTGAAGACCGGAGAAAAAAAGAGCAAATCTATTTTAACAATAAATAAATTATAGTCTTAAACGGGGTAGGCGAGTACTTACGGGGATAAAAATGTTAAACGGTTGCAGGGATGGAGTGAAAGTCCCCTCGTTTTTGTGATTTTGGGTGATGATGGAGACGAGATTTTTAAACTGTTGCGGGGCGAGAGAGGGTACGCTCGCCCAAACCCGCCCCGTGTAAATAATGAAATGTAAAACTTTGGCTATCCACTCTCTATACACATCAGCTCTATATTTACCTTATATTCGCATCGGCATTATCCCACTCAATCCTGCATTACGAATGCCCTTAAGTAACACCCTATATTATAATGCAACACACAACATCGCTAGATGCAAAGCAACAGTCATTTAATGTGTTTACATTGATGATACAGTATTCATGCAACATATTTTATAGTGTTGCAACGTTACAACATTATTAAATTGAGTAGCACATTTACGTAGTTGTATTGCCAATTTAAAATTGTTGCGTTGTAAGCTATTGATATAAAATTTTGGTGTTATTGATTTAAAAAAAGACATCGAAAAAATACTTTATTCAACCACCATAAATCATTCCAAATTAAATTGACAACGGAATTAATCACGGTAGTCGGAAACAATTTCCCATAAGAATGGATGAGCAATTTGGATTTATGAGAAAATTTTGTACAAAATTATACAATGAACATTCCAATTTTAGAATGAATCATCATTCACTGCCAGAATTAAAATTTAAGTTAAGTACAGGGTACTTCAAGATGAATTCAAAATTACTCAACCTTCCGTCTACTCTGATAATAAAGAATTAGTTGCTATACATAATACATGTTTGTAGTTTAATTTTATTCCATTTACTTGCAAATAACATACCACTAATGAACGGAATTGAAGAACACAAAAATTTGTACAAAATTAAATTACAAACATGCATTATGTATAGCAACTAAGGTTGAGTAATTCTGAATTCATATTGAAGTAGCCTGTACTAAACTTAAATTTTAATTCTGGCAGTGAATGATGATTCATTCTAAAATTGGAATGTTCATTGTATGTGGAAATATATATATATATGAATGACCCAAAAATGAGTTACTCATTCAGTCAAAGGTCACCGAAAATCAGGCCCTAAGTTTGTGCGCATAGAAACCTGCGTC